AGAGTGCATGCATTTTCTTCTGCAACTATTGCTGCAAGAGATGCTTGTGTGTTCCCTCAGGCAAATATGGTCACAAGGATGAGTGTCCATGCTACAGAGATATGAAAACCCAGGAAGGCAAACCCAAGTGCCCATGAAGTGGAAACGGCAGCTAACCAAACAAGCTTTTTGTTCGGCTATGCTTTGATCACAGATTAAATTTCTCCACAGATATGATTGTAAAATCGATGGAATTGTCTTTTATGACATTGAAATATTTTCAGTCATAATTTTAAAAGTAAATTTATTATTAATAATATCAATCACGCTAGCTCTTATATTCCTGTGGAGATGTCAATATTTTTTTTATCGCTTCCAATAGTTATACTACTATATTTTATTTTTCTAAATATCACTTTTATTACAAAAATAGATATTTTTTTTGTTCTTTTGTTTTCAAGATTTTAGAAGACACAGATAAAAAAATCCTAGATATAATGATAATTTATTTTAATTTCTTGTTTTAAAAATATACTAGTTGAGGACTCACGCTAAGCTGTGGGCTGAAATAGTTTTTATGTAAAAAATAATATTCAAATGCATCAAATATGTTTTAAAATACCCGTGACTTGGGTATAGACCTGATTGGGTCAAATAAGGTTATTTTTATTTTAATTACATGATAAGAAAAATAGGTAACACAAACAAATGAATCAAATTTAAAAAAATAATTATGATAACATGATAAAAAAATATTTTCATAAGAAGACAATTGATGTAGCTCAATTTTCAGCCAATTAAATATGAAAAGATAAAAGTGGATAGAAAAGAACAAAATATTAGTCCGAGTCAACTTTGAGTTAGCATAACAAGTCTATATCCCAAGTAATAAAAGCCGAGCAAACCTAGGTTAACCCATTAAACTCGTGGTTCAAGTAATGAGATCGGAATAACCCGATAAAAAATAAATCACTAAGCCTATTTTTTTGTTTTTAAAAAAACTCAATATCAAATGATCAAAGCTGCAAATAAAATGAGAAAAAAAAACATATGTCAACATACATTAACTTTTCAAACTCATAACCGCAATATTAGACTAGAAATACTCTATTTGGAAATACTTCTAAGCCCAATTGTCAACTAATCAAATATCAAAGGATAAAATTAAAAAAAAAATTAATTATATAAAAGGATCCAAAACAAAAATAGTAATTAAAAAAATAAGAATAAAAGTTAAAATAAAAAATGAATTTTATTTTTTCATTGAAGAGTGAAATTGAAAAGAAAAATCAATTTAACAAAAAAACAAAAAAAATACTGATCAAAATCGAAAAAAAATAAAAGCAAATTTTTTATTAAAGGGTGAAATTGAAATGAAAAATCTACTGGGATTGGATGATAAAATTGAAAAAAAAACATATCATAAATTTGAATTGAATAATGAAATTGAAAATAAATTGAAATTTTATAAAAAAAACCAATAATAACAATTAGAAATCAAAAGAACAACCTAATGACCCATGTGATTTTCCAGGGGATGAGAAGGAAAAAAAGGCCACCAACGTCGCACTGCCTTTTTGAAGCTGCCATGTTTGTCCCAAAAAGAAGAGGATATTGTGATGATTCCAATGATATAATAAAAACTAGTTTTTTTTATCGCCAATAGACACCATATATACCACCGAAAAAGCATAAACACCTCCAACGTGAATCCATACCTTTTATTTTTATAATTATATTTTATATTTAATAAAATATCAAATTGTCAGTCATCATACCTAATTATAATGAAAAAACCAGTATGAAAATAGGAAAAAAAAACCTTTTAATGCTAATTTATAATTTTTTCTTTCAATGATATTTGGATTATTTTACTGTGCTTTTAAAGACTTATTTATTTTCAATCAATTTGATAATGATCAATGAACTTTGTAAAAACACCTCACTTCCTCCAATAATCAATTTAATGATTTTTTATTGGGGAGTGTGAAATTGTCATTATATAATTTCAATCAACAATACCTGTAAGTTTGTATGAACATTGTTTCCCTATGATGCATTAGTTTTGGCAAATTCAAAGAATTCATTTGAGAGTTATTCCTAATAACAATAAACAGATTTCAATTAATGACATTTTATTTTTCTTTTGTTTTCAACATTGAAAGACTAGATTATTGACTTGCACTTTACTGTAGATTAGATTAATTTTTTTTAATATAAGATTTTTTTATGCATTGCTAATGTTTCTTTTCAGTATGAATATTTTTTAAATTATGTGAAGATTGACTTGATATGATATGATCGACTTGACAAGTCCAAAGACAACTTAGATGACCGATAAAAATATATTTTAATTTAAAATAAATATTCAATGTTAGATTTTTGTATATATATACTAAGATAACAACATATTAGATTAATTTAAATCAAGTTAGGTTAACTAGCCAATTCGTATGTTAAGTCATTAGACCACGATAACCCTACCCCCATATAAAAGAAATCAAAACCAATTATGAAATTTAATTTTCAATAAATTCAATGTTGAAAGATGCAATTGAAAAAAATAATATGAGTTAACCTATATTAACCTACCAAATTCATGACCTAAGTTATGAGATCAAAATAACCTAATAGAAATAAAATTGAAATAAATTATGAAGCCTAACTCTTAAATACCCCAATGTTGATAGATGGAATTAAAAAAAAATTGATTAAAAAAGACAAAAAATGACTTTAATTAACTTGATTTAACTCGTTAAACTTGTGACTTGAGTAGTGTGACGAGAATAATATTAAAGAAAGTAAATCGAAATAAATCACAAAACCTAATTTTCAATTAATCCACTATTGAAAAATAAAATTAAGAAAAACAGTCAATCAAAAAAGAGAAAAAAAAACTCATGTCAACCGAGTTAACTCATTAAACCCACAATTTAGGTCATGAAACTGAGATGACCTCATAATTATTTTTTTTTTTAAAAATGATGAAGTTTAGTTCCAATAAACTTAATATTAAAGGATGAAAATAAAATTAAAATTGAAAAACTAATTACAAAAAGATATAAAAAAGACTCGAATTAACCTGTGTCAACTTATGATTTAAGTCTATTAAATGAGAATAACCTTATATAAATCATTTTAAAACAAATAACAAAATCTAATTTCAAATCAATCCAATATTAAAAGATGAAATTAAAAAAAATAGTTAGGAAAAGGGAAAAAAAAAGTCAAATCAATCCGTCAAGCCAACAATTTGCATCATGAGACCAATATAACCTCATAAAAATTAAATTAAAAAATAAAGCTTAATCCCCAATAAAATTAATATTAAAGGGTTGATTTAAAATTAAAAAATATATATTAGGAAAAACAAAAACAAAGGAAGGGATAGGAAAACATTTTCTAAGGGTCAAATAGATAGTACTAGATCATTAGTTGTGCTATGCTGGGATTCAAATGAAGTTTTTCTTTGACGTAAAAAAATATCCTAGTGTTTTTAATATGTTTTTAATTGAAAATTCTTTAAACTATATAAGAATTAACTTGGTTGACTTGAAAGTTCTACAGACAACTTAGACAATCAATCTATGCTGCGAGTCAGATGAAGTTTTTCTTAGATGTAAAAAAATATCCTGGTGTTTTTAATGTGTTTTTTAGTAGAAATTTTTTAAACTACATAAGAATTGACTTGTTTGCCTTGCAAGGTCTAAAGACAACTTAGACGATAAAAATTTAGTTTAACTAAAAAATCAAAACGATATATTTTTTTTAAATATTAAAATAATAATATATTAGATCAACTTGAGTTAACTTATCAAATCCATTACCAGATCATGAGACCCTGATAACCTTATAAAAAAAAAAAATTAAACTCAATTCTCATTGAATTCAATGTTTAAGAATGAATTTGAAAACAAAATTCAACTAAAAAATTAAGTCGAGTTAATCCAGGTTAACTTATTAAAATTGGATTATAAAACTGGAATAACCCTATAGAAAGTAAATCAAAATAAATTATGGCGCTCAATTTCCAATCAAACTAATATTGAAGGATGAAATTGAAACAAATTCAACCAAAAAAAGGATTTAAAAAAACCCAATCACCAAGCTAACTCAAAACCTAAGTCATAAAATTGTGATAAACTCATAGGGAAAAAAAACCTAATTCTCAATCAACTTTATGTTTAAGGATTAAATTGAAAAAAAAATCAAATAAAAAAAGATAAAAAATAATTTAAGTCAACTCAAGTTAACTTGCCAGGCCCGAGTCAGGAGACTAGGGCATCTTTATTGAAAGAAAGAAAAAATTATAAAGTTCAATTATTAATTAATTCAATATTAAAGAATAAAATTAAAAAAAAATTAATTAAAAAAGAACAAAATAAAAACTTGAGTCAGCACTCGCAAAACTCACTATTTAAGTTATGAGATTATGATAATCACATAAAAAGTAATTTGAAAAACAATTATGAAACTTAATTTCCGATCAACATAATATTAAATGGTTATATTAAAAAAATAATAAAAAATAATAATAAAATAAACTAAGTCAACAGAACTAACTCTCAAAACTCACAACTTGGTTTATAAGGTTATAATAACTTTATAAAAAATAAATTATAAAATATAATATTATATAAATATAATATTAAAATATAAAATTAAAAAAAATAAATTCTAAATTAAAATTTTTTTTTTAATAATTTTTGATGAACAAGTAAAAAAAAACTTTGGCATTTTACCGTTCATGTATAATATTATATAAATCTAATATTAAAATATAAAATTAAAAAAAATAAATTAAAAAAAAAGTTTTAATAATTTATGATGAACAAGTAAAAAAAACTTTGGCATTTTACCGTTCATGTTTATTGATATAGTAAAAACACTAATGCTTTTTAGCGACAACTTTTAATTATTATTATACGCTCATGAAATATGCACGCTCTCGATTCTCAACAACCTCTTTAAAAGAAAAAAAAAACCCTCTCGGTTCTTAACCACCTCTTTAAAATAAAAAAAATCTCGATTCTCCACTTCATTCCCTCTCTTCTAAAAAATAATAAAAAAAAAATTCACATATTGTCGTTTTACTGCTCTTAGCTCTGCGTAGCAAAGTCTCTCTCTAACAAATCTGAAAACAGAATCTCTCCGTCACAGCTGAAGAGCAACAGCAGCAGCAAGAATCATGACTCATATCCTTCTCATTGTTCTTATCTAATTTTAGATCTTTTGATTTTTCTTTTATTTCCTGCAGTTTTTTTTTTTAATTTTGTTTCTTTGATTCAATTTTCACGCGGAAATCAAAGAGAAAAAGATCGCGAGAGAGCTCAAGCTCGTAGCGGTAACAAAGTAAACAAAGGCAAGGATGACGGTTTGACTCCTGAACAGCGTCGTGAAAGGTTGATCGGTTCCTCTATTTTTTCTTACATTTTTTTTAAAATTAATTTTGGTTAAATTTCAAGATTTTTGCATTTACTTTTTGTAGAGACGCGAAGGCACTGCAAGAAAAGGCGGCGAAGAAGGCAGCACAGGCGGCGGGAGGGGAATCTTCGGGAGGAGGTAAAGGGAGTAATAAGAAATAGAGAGAATTTTGTTGTGTTTTAATCATGTGGATTTGTGTTGATTACGGTTTGATGTGGATTTGATATTTTGTATGGATTTTCATGCTTGCTTGGTTTGGAAATACACGTTCAATCTGTTTATTTGAGGTTTGTTTAGTTTGATTTGGAGTTTTGAAGATCAGTTTTGAAAATTTTAATTGCTTGATTGGATCGGTTATCGATGAATTAGTTGTTTTTATTGATTTAATTTTATGCATTTTAATTATTGAATCACGCAATTTTGGAGAGATTGATAATTACACGCATATATCCGTGTTCTACTGCTCCTTGTTGGTCAATTAGAGATGGAAATGTTGAAATTTAGTTAAGCTTTATAGTTGTGCTAGCCTTGATAAGGCTAGAGTTGAAGAACGAAAAGATAGTGTTATTATATTGTATGGATGTTGGTTATGCTTTTAGGAAGGTTTAGGCCTGATGGAAAGGAAATTAGGGATTATGGGAGATAATCATGTTAGTTAAACGAGTTTCTAGTACAGCTTATGAAAACTCTCTTTTAGACAATTACTGCACGGTTTGCTTATTCATAAGAATCACCTTATGGCTGTTTACAGAAGCATTCGGTAGTCTTCCCATTGTCAAGAATACAATGGACTAGGATGTCACTATCTTATCTTAAAAATATTTCTTTGGATGGATTAGAGTTCATTGCTGAAAAAAGTTATTACTATTCAAGCATTGGCTGAATGTGCATTTAAACCACGATTTGATGGTTTTAATTGCACTTTGGTGTATATTCACTCGGATGCACAACTAGGGCTTTCTTATATGTGTGACTTGAACACATTACTTTGTGAAATTGGATGACTGTAGCAGGTTCTCTGTATGACACGGTTACTGTATTCTGAACTTAATCATAAGCAACCTAATTTTCTTTTAAATTTGAGTAGGGCTTCTAACCTGGAACAGTAAATCCCCATAGATCATGAATATTGGCCCTTTTCAAGGTATAAAGTATCTAACTGGAATTTCATTAGCTTTTTCAAACCATGTGCATTATGGGGCCAAGTTAGTCAGTTCATCTTAAGGGTATTAGGTAGGAGAATTTCAGGCATTCACAAGGCCAGCAAGGATTTTTTATCCACTACTTGCTGATGGTTTTCATTTTGATGGCAATATTGTCTAAAGATATTACATAAGAATAGTGTTGGTCAGTTTGAATGGTTTTCATTTTCATTCTTTGAATGCACCACAGATTACACTTTGAGCATCTATATCTTTTGTAGAATGTCTGCAATCACTTGAAACTCATGGTTGCATACTAATGTTTGGACGTTTAGATTTTAGGACTACTTAAAGATTACTTTGTTCTTGTGATATACTTTGTTTTCAAAGAAAACATTGAACATTTCTCTCTCCCGTCTCGGACAATTATTATTAACACACTCTAGAAAGGTAATTGCATTATTTGTGGTTATGAGGAGTTTCTAGTTGTGCCTGCATTTTTTATAGAGTTTGAGGAGGGGGAAACCCATGCCGATCACATACAAATTACAATATACACAAGTTTGAATAAAAGGGGCTTAGAAAAATAGATGTGAGGTGAGCTTAACAAAATTTCAGGCATTTCCTTGACTCGGCTGTTCCTTTGTCCTGGGGCTCTAGGCTATGCATAAACCTGCTCATATATGTTGTGAATATGAGGAGATAAACTAAGTATTTTTTTGAGGACCAAGAAGATATTCTGGTGATTCTAATGGATAATAGGGAGATTAGATTTTCTAAGCAGCTAGGCTGTGGAGATCAGAGTCCATATTTAGCAACCATTTGAAAGATATCACAGCTAAATAGCATCTCAAATACCTGCGTTTTGTTTCATGCATAATTACGGTCAGCATGAGCCTAAATTATTGAATTGGCACTTCTTTTCTGGTCTTTTTGTGGAAAACTATATAATCTCTTACGTTGGCAAGTTACGAATCAATGTGCCTATTTACCTCAAGTGGGAATTAACGAAATGAAGGAATTTGCAGAGTTACCGTGGAATTCTTTCGGTTCAGCTTGTTCCGGAGTTTCTCTTGTTTGTATATGCATGGTAATTGGTAGTCAGGCATGTTTTGCAAATGAAGGCCATTGATTTTGGGCTCAATAGCTAATTGGGGCAGATAATCCCCTAAAATTAACGAAGAGCAAGAACAGGGAGGATGATAATGGCCTTGATTGCAAATTATAATACTGTTATTGACAGGTGGTGGAACAATTGGTGTCATCGTAAGCCTTGGTTTTTAAACTGTCAGAATAAGATGAGCATCTTTGTTTGGATCTTATCATTGGTGGAAATGGGAGAAGGAAATTCTTGGTCATTGAATGCCCTATACTGTAAATCCTTGGCTTAGATCATTTTTGCATGGGGCTCATTTGTGTAAAACCTAAGCATGGATCAGTGTTGCTACCACCACTATTTTACAGTGCAGACCCTACACTGCCAGGGTTAGTTTGATCAGCCGCCGTGTATATAGTGTGAATAAAAGTTAGGATTTTTAAATTCTAAGGTTAGATCTAAGCGAAATTTAAAAGAAATTCTATTTTATAAAATCTCGATTTTATGAAATCTTAATAATAGACTTTATCTTAAAATAAGCTTTATGTTAGTTATAAAATCCTTTATATTAATTAAAACAAATCCTTTATAGTAAATAATTTCTAATTAAAATTTATCTAATTAATAGAATCTATCTAATTATTAACTAGTGAAATAATAATTAAATTGTAAGTCCTAGAAAAAAGAATCAAAGAACAACAGGGTAAATAAAAACAATTTCGTGTTTCTTTTATTTAAAAGCCTTTTCAATCTTAGATAATCATGAAATTTTAGTCTAATATAAAATAAAACTTTTAGAATTTTCTAGTAAAATTTTAATTTAATACAATAGTCATATTAACAGTTAGTTATGCTTGATTTATTAAATTATATTTTAGATTTTTCTTAAACTTTTCAACATCTAAAAATCTTATCCATTAATGAAATAGTATAATAAATATTATACCAATAATATTGAAATTTTTTTTCCACATCAATCACCTCTACTTCTCTCTACTTCTGAAAAACATTACTTGAGTAACCTATCAAAAATTAACTTTTCCACTTTAAATGAATAAATACTTAAAATATAGAATTGTAGTTCCTTCGGACATTCTTTTACTTCAAACTTGATCTTATCATTGTTCATGACTTCCAATACTTCAAATTTTACATCTCAAGAAACTTCAAGATAATCCTTCTTAATATCTTTAAAAAAATTGTTAGAAATTACCATGTTCTCTGTGTTCTTGTTTGCAAGATCTTTAGAATTGCTACAACATATTAATTTAGAAGCTTTTTGATTTCTTTTTCATTATTAGATGATAAAACATTGACAATTAGATTAATATTTGCAACAATAGTATTATTGTTGTTGTTGTTACTGTTATGATATTGAAACTGTTTACTTTGAAAAGATGAGACGACAACTTCTACATAATTTTCTTACATGTTATTTTAGAAGGTTGAACAAAAAAATAATAATAACAATCTAATTACTTATGTATATGATATAAAATCTTTTTATAATTATATTGTATAAACTTTAAAATTAATTATTGTTTCAAATCTTGTCAAGATAGAATTAAAAGTATGCCAATACAAGTTCTAAAGTCTAGAAATTTAAACCAACATTTTCTAACATCATAAGAAAGCATATAACAAGTTTTATTTTTCAATGATAAAATTTTTTGTTGAAATAAAAATAAGCTTTCAACTTGTTAACTAGTTAATAATTTTTTTTTTGAAATCTCTTATCATGAAAAAAAATTTAGTCAAATTTAGGAATAGATTTAGGTTTTGATCTGCCTCAAGTAAGTATCTAGGAAACTTCATCTACTTTTCATGATTCTTGTTTGCGCCTCCCATCAATTGAATGATACGTCCCTAGTTAGCCAGCATTGTTGTTGTTTGCTCAAAACGATCTAGTTTTTGAGATTGGATTCCTCGCCTTCATATTTCGTAGTGTTTCAGATGGCTTCCACCCTTGCACTGCAGAATGGTTCCAACCGTTTTTTCCATCATATCTTTCTATCTTGAATATTTGATGGAAAACTGTGATAAATAATATATTTTTTTTTGATAAATAAACACTATCTTTCTATCTTGAATATTTGATGGAAAGCTGTGATAAATAATAGTTTTTGTTTTTTTTTAATAAATAAACATTCGCACTTCAAAACTGTGACAATTTTTTTTTTTGTTTTGGTCTTCATCTATATTAATCTGATGAAACATATTTACCTGTATTTCTATCTGAAGATGCTAATCCAGTGCAAATTTAATTATCACCACTGTCAAACTATGTTGCTGATTTAAGTGATTTTGGGAATTGGGGTTTCTTTTACGTATGGTCTCCCGCAGTCGCTCTAACCACCATCAGATTCTCAAAATAATAGGGCAGCGGTCTTACTTGGGATACCCACCAAATGATTTTTGGATCAAAGTAGTATTATTACTTCTTAAAACGCAACTAATTGGTATTTAACAGAATAAACTCTCCAAAACAGTAAGTTTATTTTCTTATGATGATTGCACACGTATAAACTTAATTTGTTTCTGGCCTCAAACGGGGCTAGGTTCTTGAACCGTTCTATTCGATTTTGGATTCAATTTTCAAGTTTCCGGGTCTGACTCTCCTTTTGTTTTTTTGTCCCTTTCTGATTCTTCTTGTTCTTGAGAGGAAAATGCAATGAAATGATAACGTAGATTGGCAGGCACAATCGCATGAGGTCACATTTCTAGTTGACTCCGCATTATAACTTGCTTATACAAAGCCTGAAGTCGAACAAGCTAGGTGCAACGGCAGCTAGGGTAGATTTTGAACATTCTAAATATTGATACATCAGATTGGGTATATGATTTCTGGAGTTTGACTTAGGGTGGTAAGTAGATTCAATCCTACTGTTACTATTACTATTATTACTATTACTATTATTATTATTATTATTATTATTATTATTATGTTTTGTTGTTGGTGAAAAATCAATAAATTTTTTTATTATATGGAGACCTATTTTTTTTTAATTATTATCTCTATATCAAAATAGTGTATGTGTGTGTGTATATGCGGTTGAATTAGGTAACCCATAGTGTAAGAAAGAATTGGAGAATGCAGATCGATGAAAAGTAATATTG